TTGTGGAGTATCAAAGCTAGCAGAAAGTAGCTTGGCCTGTAAGCTCTTCAGCACTTTCTGTCCTCTCTGGGATAGGGAGACAGACAGCTACAGGATTCCTGCAGAGATGTTACTGTTTGATGCCTTTCACAAATGCATTACTTAAAACGAAGCAAAGTCAGTTCCAGTGCTAAAGGCTGTGTGGGACCTTTGCTCCTGCATTATTAGGTGTTAGAGAGTAAACTGAAACATAAAATTTACTCACATAAACAATATGAATAACTATTAAAAAGCATATTTTTCTAATTTATCTGGTAGGTATCTATCAAGGGCTCAATCACATTAAAATAAAACTGCAAATCAAGTATATGTGTTCCCACATAGGTGTTAGCCATGAAGAAAGTGAAGAAAAGAATATTCAATAATAAGCAATACTGGCAGGGAACAGAGACTCTTGGGAGGCCGAGGCAGGAGGATGGCTTGAGGCCAGGAGTTTAAGACTAGCCTGGACAACATAGTGAGATCCCATCTCTATAAAAATCAAAAATTAGCTGGGTGCAACTGTAGTCCTAGCTACTCTGGAGGCTGAGGCAGGAGGATTACTTGAGCCCAGGAGCTCAAGGATACGGTGAGTTAGGACTGTGCAACTGCACCACAGCTTGGGTGACAGAGTGAGACCTTGTCTCTGGGGGAAAAAAAAGAAAGGGCAGTATTTTGGAGAACATGAGAACTCACTGAAGTATAAAAAAAGTAACATGACATATAATCAGCTTGTGTTAATCATCATGGGAAAATATTTTTCATGTGTTTTATATGACTTGATGTCTAGGGATAGGTCTTTATTCTGATTGTTATTTTCACGTATTTAATACCACAGAATTAAACAGGAATATTTTATGAGCTTGAATTTAAAAACTGCTCTTGGAGTTACTGTAACACTGGATATCTAAGGATGTTTCTCAACTGACACACATGATTAGTATTTCTACCCAGTATACTACATACTTTGTGGATATTGACTCTTAAGACTTTTTTCTGGCTCTCCTAGTCTAAATTATACCTAAATGAATCCAAAAGAGGCAACGGAAGGGTAGTACGCTGGTGATGAACTGTCAAATTATGTCACATATTTTAAATGGTATCCACTTAACAAGTTTAAAAGATGGTGCTACAGTCTCCGGTTAAATATTAAGACGTAAGACATGCATTTCCTCTGCTCATTGTCACAATCTAACTCAGCAAGGCACAAAAAAAAGTCAAAAACCTCAAGAATAGAGAATAGAAAAAGAGACAAAAATTAGTAAGTAAATAAATAAGAAATCAACAAAATTTTGGAAGATGTTAAGTGGATAGAGAAAAGCAATTAGGTTTCAGCTTTCTCTGCTATACTTGATCTGCAAGGGGAGAAACTCAGTAAGAAGAAAGCCAATTCGTTCATCAGAAACCTGGGAAAAGTACTGGAAATACGAGGTACTTTCAACCACAGGGTTGATGAATGGATAAAACAGGAAGATTAAAAGTCTGTACTGCAGTTATTAAGACTTCCCAGACCTAGCCAGTTGTGATGGCACGTGCCTGTACTCTCAGTTACTCGGAGGGCTGGGGTGGGAGAAACATTTGAGCTCAGGAGTTACAGGCTGCAGTGAACTATGATCACACCACTGCACCACAGCCGGGGCAACAGAGCAAGACCATGTCTCTAAAAAAAAAAAGTCTTTAAGACAGATTAAGCAAATCAGTTACTTTTTATCTCTTCCTAAATCCCACCAAAATGATGGTAAAGGAATCCGGTTTTAAGAAACATGAATAAAGTAAGAGAAAAAGCAAAAAAATTGTGGAAGCTAGAAAGCAGGCTCAACAGAATGAAGAAGTTCAATCGGACACCCAAGAATAAATTTGCCTTTTTCCTGCAAAACTCCCCAAAAGGATAAGGAAATTGGTTAGAATGACAAATAATTCTCTACACTAGGGTGAAAGTGCTGGTTACTGAATGTGTGTGTGGTGGCGGCAGCGGCGGGGGTGGGGGTGGGGCGGTAATAATAGGAGGTATTAAAAATAAGTACTAATGAAATCAGTACTTTTTAAAAGTAACCAGTTCAATCTGCCCACATCTGAAGCAAATATGGAGATTTATGCTTTCGAGAGGGTAAAAAGATAATCTCTGGCCTATCCAGATGATTCAGCAACTTACCTCACCATGTGCTCAGAGCTTCCATTCAGTTTTTTAGTGTCTCACACTTAATTACGGACAGGCAAACATCAGTCACTAGAGCTCTCTAAGAGCCTTCAATGTGAAAGACAGCAACCAAACAAAAGCAACTCAGAGTAAAAAGATACTAGGCAGACAAAAGAAAAAAACCTTAACAAAATCTATCATTAATATCTTAAACAGACACGGGAAGATAATGTAACCATAAAATGAGCAGAATTCCATTAAAGGGGTAGTGGTACAGAAGAAAAAGAGGTTGTGAAAATTAAAAATTATAGCAGAAATTCAAAATAATAAACTCAATAAAAAGTTAAGAAAGTTAAGAACATGTCCCAGAAAAACAAATAATATAAAAATATAAACATAAACATATACATGCAAGAAAGAGGATAACATTCTTGGGAAACCAGTCTAGGAGATCGAATATCTGAATAATAAGCATTCCAGAAAGAGAGAAAATAGAGAAGAGGAAAATCACCAATAAAATAATTCAGATGAGATTGGGTGTGTCCAGGATGGTATGGCTGTAGATACGAATAAAATAATTCAAAATAATTTTCTAGAACTCAAGAACATGAGTTCACAGACTGGTAAAGTCCCAACACGGGATGAAAACAGACCCTAAATATGGCACATCATCATAAAATTTTAGCACACCAGATGGCTAGCTAAAAAAAGATGGTAATGATAACACAAAGAAAAAAACAGAACTTATAAAAAAAATCAGATTCCTGGGCGCAATAGATCACACCTGTAATCTCAGCACTCTGGAAGGCCAAGGCAGGAGAAGCCTTGAGGCCAGGAGTTAACACCAGCTTGGGCAAGCTGGGGAGACCCTGTCTCTACAAAAAATAAAGAGAGATGTGATTGCACCACTGTACTCCAGCCTAGGCAACACAGTGAGACCCTGTCTCAAAAGAAAAAGAAAATAAATCAGAAATTGGATTGACAGCTCAGTTCTTAAGAGTAAGAATGGAACTTCAAAGACAAAAACATAATGCCTTCAAAATTATCAAGGGAATAATTTTCAGCATGGAATTACATTCTCAGTCAAAGGAAAAATTAATTTTTAGGGAAAATGTAAAATATTTTCAAAACAGCAAGGTCACAAAAAATGTAGTTCCCATGCAACCTTTTTGAAGATGATACTGAAGAATATGCTCCACCAAAATCAGAAAGTAAACCGAGCAGGAGGTAGACATAGAATATCTTTAAAAAGAGCTCCAATTTGAGGGAGATGCAAAGAGAATCTCTAAGATGATGATAATGAGTGATACCAGGGGAATAGGTACACATCAGGTGGGAAGGTCAACCAATCTAGACTGGGGCTTATCTGAGGGCTCCAGGAGGAACTCTACTCAAGATGAAATTGACATATTACTTGATACTTCTGAATACATTAAGGCAACTAACTATTCATCTGTGAGTGGTGTTTACATGATCATGGCATAAACACTGAATACTGTTCTAAAAACATGACATTACTATATGTGGAAGATGAATAGAAAATGATCAGTGGTTAACTGGCAGCCCAAAGATATGTGCTTAATCCTTATTTCCAAAGTGAAATGGCAATAGTTAAGCTTAAAAATAAAATCAAGGAACAGCCTTGGAAGTACATGGAAATATAAAAGTAAGTATCAAACAGAGAAGAGCTAGAAGAAGTTGCCGCTGGAGAGATGGAAATAAAGAAAAGAGCAGGGAACATATTTAATTTTAATAAAAATAAGAAAACAAAAATAGTAGTAAAAGACATGAGTTTTCAGATTTAAAGGGTAAATCTAGAACTTAGCATTATCAATGATAAAACATCAGAAACCAGAAGAATAAAAGAAAAAGCTTCCAGAGGGTGTATGTACTAGGGGAAGGATAGGTATATATGAAAAACAAAAGGACATTCAATTTCTCAAGAGACTTCAAGATTCTCAAGCAAACCTATTTCTTTCTTAGAATTTTCTACTGAGCCAATCTATCAATCAAGTATGAGGGGAAAAATAAAGATAATTCCAGGAAAGCAAGATTTAAAAATAAAAATTTAGCACCCTTTCTAAGGACACCATAGGAGAATGTGCTCTGCAAAAAAAAAAAAAAAAAGAATAAACCAAGGAAGAGGAAATCATGAGATCCAGAAAGGGGTAGAGGGAATTTTTGGAAGACAGTGAAGAAAGTCACAGGATATTAGTTATACTGAAGTTTAGAAAACTGAGGGTTCCAGGAGGATATTTCTATGAGAAAAAAAAAAAAACAAAACAGAAATGAAGTATCTGAACTACTGAGGTTCTACCAATTCTGTGGAAGAGTTTATAGTTTCCACAATTACAAAAATAAAAAATTATTTACAGAAGGTAATAATACACTATAATGCCCGGCTGTAAATAACATTTTCATAGGCATAACATGGTAAAACTGACTATAAATTTAATAAAATGTTATCTCTAACTATTTTGGGAGAATGAAAGAAGGGAAGAAAAGAGAAGAGGGAGAAAGGTGCAGTAATATATAAATAGTACCATTATCACATAATATTTAAACACAAGGAAGGAATTCCCAAAATAAATGCCTAAAAGGGGTGAACGTGGCTGTCTCTGACATTAGACTTGCATAAAAAGGAAAAGCAGGGCACTGGCATTTTTCTTACATTTAGCTTTTTAAATTATTTAACTCTATTACTTTGAAAATATTTTCAATTACATAAAAAAGATTTCAATAAAGAAAAGTTATCTAATGACATAAAATCTTTCTCAAATCAGAGATGAGACCTAATGGTGTTATCTGCAAAATAAATTAATATTAATGATGTTTTGAAGGATACATTGCAAAAGACAAAACAAGCAGGCACCAGACTAAGCTGATATTCATTTCCTGTGTAGGCTTCATAAAATTGTAGTAGACTTCAGTTACCAGATACACAACTGTAGCAGCCACTGTGAAATCCACCAGCCATTGGTATTCTGGAAAGTAATGCAATGCTGGAAAAAAAAAAAAAGGTTTCACTTAAATTTTCGTAAATAACTTATGAGGACTTATTTATAATTAAAATATGCTAGACTTTATTTGTTCATTTGCAATGTAAGATTTACAAATATATGAATCTAAAAATGCAGGAAATAGACTGAGGATGTTAGCATCCAAAACTAAATTTTAATACCTCACAAATTAAAATAAACCTTAAAAGATTACCAAAGTTATTTAAGTTGCTGGTAAAGTATGATTGCAAATTTATTGGTATTAACTGATTAGCTATTTTTTACAGAAATTATAAGTGTTTTCTTTTAAATATCTAGCTATGATACCTTCACTTCAGAAAACAACTTAGTCTAGAACACAACAATTTAGTTATACTGTTCACTTCTGTGAAGTAAGAGTTAAACTTTATGTTACAATTATTGGCTGTACTAATTGTAAACTAGTAATTCTATGAAATACTACAGATTAAAATAATAAACAAGGCTGGACGCGGTGGCTCACGCCAGTAATCCCAGCACTTTGGGAGGCCAACGCAGGCGGATCACCTGAGGTCAGGAGTTCGAAACTCGCCTGGCCAACACGGCAAAACCCCATTTTTACTAAAAATACAAAAATTAGCTGGGCGTTGTGGCAGGCACCTGTAGTCCCAGCTACTTGGGAGGCCAAGGTAGAAGAGCTTGAACCTGGGAGGAGGAGGTTGCAGTGAGCTGAGTTCACGCCACGGCATTCCAACCTGAATGACAGAGCAAGACTCTGTCTCAAGAAAAATAATCAACTAAATATAACTCTTATACCCTATTTTGTTCTGCAAGAAAAGTTTATAAAATGTCTGTTGATTTTCCATAAAACCATACCCTTTCAACAAACTATTCCATTCTTAAGAGTTTACATTGAAATTAACATTCTTTGAAAGTAAATATAATTCCATCACCCTTCGCATCTCAGTTGGCATAGGTATTCTGGTTTACTTCTACCAGAGTGTAGTCCAAAACATCAACATCATTTTTTAGAAGGCCTCCTAAAAATGTGGAAGTAAATCACGTACATAACCATCAATTCAGATGTTCTTATGGCACATAATAAAATGATCTGCATTGCTTTGGACAGTTTTTAGTGATAAAATATAATACAATTACACTTGAAGATACAACATTCTTATAGAAAAAGTATTTTGAAAATATCACATACAGTAAGACCTATTAAAAGTAGTATCAAAACTAACCAAATTTTATACCATTTCTATAAGATGAACATAACATTTTAATAATCCAAAATCCATTTATGATTTTTAAATTTGCATCAAGTTATTGTAACACTCTTAATCTGCTTCAATGTACTTTAACTTTTAGGTTAACTGCTTTAGGTTTTCTGAGAGTGCAGCGGTGTGATCATAGCTCACTGCAGCCTTAGCTTCTGGCGCTCAAACAATCTTCCCACCTCAGCTTTCCTAGTAGCTGAGACTACAGATGCACACCATCAAACTTGGCTAATTTTTAAATTTTTTGTACAGACATGGTTTCACTATATTGCCCAGGCTGTTCTCAAACTCTTGGGCTCAAGCCATCCTCCCACCTCAGCCTCCAAAAGAGGTGGGATTACAGGCATGAACCACAGCCCTGCTTTAGGTCTTCTATTGCGATTTACCTACAGCTTCTGAACATAAGCCTGAAAGATCCTGATGCAGTTACAGGATGCTTACCCTCAATCCCTTCCTCCTGCTAAGAAAAAAAAAAATCACCCATACTGAGCTTTCTATCTGGAAGGAGGTCAGGGAAGTGGATGGAAAGGACAGACCAAAATCCATTTAAGGTTTTCAGTTTTATTATCAATAATTTAAATAAGCATTCTAATTCTCCAAACCTACCCATACTCATAGGGACTTCCTCCATGGAACTCACTCATAGCAAACAGTGAAGTGACATTCCAAAGTTCTAATGTTCTTTAAGAGGTTCTTATAATACATAGTTAATACAAATTAAGATAGACTTTTATGACAATTATTGGGACATCAATAATATATACATTCCATGAAAGTACAAATTATATATATTCTTGGCTATTTAATTCAAGTGTTACATTCTTTGTGTAATCAATAATACAATTATATATATGCCTTTTAATAAAATATTGAAGTCAAAAGAAGACAGAAAACCCTGTACTTTCACCTAAACACACATATACAACATGCATTCACAAATGACTATGAAAACTTACAAACATATATGAACATCTCCCTGCTATTCTGGTTAACTGGAAATGCTCTTGATATTACATGACCAGTTGATAAACGAGTATCATTTGCGACTAGTTCTAAAAATCCTAAAAGTGAAACCAAATACTCCATAAACTACATGCTAAAGCTACAATACCCTAAATTCAATTTTTTTTTTTTTTTTTTTTTTTTTTTAGTTCATTAAAATAGCCTAGTTCTCATTGAGTGGCTGTACTACATTCAGTGTGTAACCCTGTCCAAGTTATTTAACTCTTCTTCCTAATGAATTAAAAAAACAAAAACAAAAACTGATAACAGTTACCTACTTCAGAATTGTGAGGATGGGGTAATACAAGTAAAATATTATAACAATGTCTGATACTCAACAATTTTAAGATCTTATTAAAGCTAGCTGACAAATTATTCAATAAACATTATTTGTAAAAATGTCAAAACTACTAAAAATCAGGAAGAACGTTTATATATTATTGTATTTATACGTATCTATGAACAGTTTATACAAGTAAGCACATTTAAGAGTAGTGAAACATATGTGACAACTACTAATCAAAAAGTGACAACTACTAATCAAAAAGTCAAAGTGCCTTTAAATGTTTTAAATGTTGAATGTAAAATAGTTAAAAGAAAAGAGGAAGACATAACCAGTCTTAAAAGTCTAAGGGGTCCGTGCGGTGGCTCACACCTGTAATCCTAGCACTTTGGGAGGCTGAGGTGGGCAGATCACGAGGTCAGGAGATTGAGACCATCCTGGCTAACATGGTGAAACATTTAAGAGTAGTGAAACATATGTGACAACTACTAATCAAAAAAAGTCAAAGTGCTTTTAAATGTTTTAAATGTTGAATGTAAATATAAAAGAAAAGAGGAAGACATAATCAGTCTTAAAAGTCTAAAGGGGTCTCGGTGCGTGTGGCTCACGCCTGTAATCCTAGCACTTTGGGAGGCTGAGGTGGGCAGATCACGAGGTCAGGAGATTGAGACCATCCTGGCTAACATGGTGAAACCCCGTCTCCACTAAAAAATACAAAAAAATTAGTTGGGCATGGTGGCGGGCACCTGTAGTCCCAGCTACTTGGGAGGCTGAGGCAGGAGAATGGCATAAACCTGGGAGGTGCGGCTTGCAGTGAGCCAAGATCGCGCCACTGCACTCCAGCCTGGGTGACAGAGCGATCCGTCTCAAAAAAAAAAAAAGAGTCTAAATGATATTAGACAAGTGATTTACATTGCTCTTCACTGATATTTTTTAGTTCTAGGACATGCTTTACATACACATACAACCTTTACAGATGTAATAATAAACCTTCACGTATTTCGAAGCCACCTTGTATCATAAAATAATCCTATTTGAGATGTTAGACCTCTTAAGATTTTTTGATGGTGGTATGATTTAACCCAAGAAGGGTCAAATTACATGATGACACCTTATTTGACATTATCAAAATTATTTTTAAAAAACACGTATCATTTCATTTATCACATAAACCAGTGGTTGTCAAACCTAGTCAAAAATCAAAATCACTTGGAGCACTTTTAAAAATGTAAATTCCCAAAACTTACTCTACATTTACTGAATCTTCAAGGATGGGAGTAGAGAATCCATTTCAAAGAACTCATCAAGTGATTTTGATATATCCCAAAGTTTAAAAACCAGTGTTTTAAATTATATCACCTTAGATGCCTCTTCCTTCTAGGATTCAAACAATTTCATATTAATATCATTTTAAACTAGAATCATTGTAGTCATTATATAATTACAATAATTGAGACACTACAGTTCTATAATTTATAGGAGGAAAACTAAATGACCTATTTGGAAATAACAAATGGATGAAAGTAAATCCTGAATAAGTAAATTTTTCTGATTTCTAATCCAGTTCATTATTCTAAAACCATTTTCCTTTCTAATACATGTGAGAATAAAATTGAATTACTCTAAATATGGGTAAATCAATAGAAATACAGTTGACCCTTGAACAATACAGTTTGAACTGTGCACATCTACTTATATGCAGATTCTCTTCCATCTCTGCCACCTCTGACCAGCAAGACCAACCCCTCCTCTTTCTTCTCCTCCTCGGCCTACTGAAAGTGAATATCACAGTGATGAAGACTTTTATGATGATCCACTTCCACTTAACAGGAAATATATTTTTTCTCCCTTATGATTTTCTTAGTAATTTTCTTTTCTCTAGCTTACTTTATTGTTATAATACAGTATATAATACATATAACACAAAAAATATGTGTTGATTTTTTATGTTATTGGTAAGTCTCAGGAGTAGGCTGTTAGTAATTAGGTTCATGAGTAGTAAAAAGTTGTATTCGATTTTTCAACTGCATAAAAGTAGGCACCCCAACCCCTGGGCTGCTCATGGCCAGACATTTCAAATGCAGTTTTGCAAGCCACATTAGAAAAGGGCAGGCTGAATCAAAGAGTAAAAGGAAGTCTAGAATTCCAGATAATAAAATTTGACTGTGATCTCAATCTAACAAACAGAAACTGCATAATAAACTTGTGTAAGTTAGCCTCTTCCGAAAATAGGAAAAATAATACAAGTTAGGTGAACAAAAAAAGAAATTCAATTCAAATGAAGTCATTTGAGCATCTAAGTTCTTAGAAAGATTCCTTATTCTGTATAATGGACTTAATGATTAAAATGAAAGTACTTTCACTACCATAATATAAAACTGAGATTCACAGAACATTTTACCAAGATTTCCCTTACCTAAAGTATCCACTTCTGTAACTGATTTTGTTTCTAGATGAAGGTCAATATCCTTTGGAATGGTTAATGGCTTACTTTCAATGTGACCATTATATTTCCTATAAAAATCAGACAAGTGACACAAAAAACAAGTTACCTACGCTGTTATCCAAGTGCTTGTTTCAAACTAATTACAAATGAAGTTTTAAATTTCACAGTGTAAAGGCAGAATTCCTAATATTTCATCAGTAAGGATGTAAGGTACTCAAAGGTAGTTTTAAAAAGGGTACTAAAAAATTTGAATGTAAATTATCATGTGAATATACAGATTACCAGGGAAATAATTACCTAAATTAGTTACTGCAACAAAACCTTTTTTTCTAGCTTAGCATTTCACACCCATTTCTCCTGTTCTCTTTTTTCTTTAAGCACAAGAGTAAATAAAAATGAAGACAAAGTGCACTTCTCCTTGAAGTGACATGTATAAACACACACACATACATACATATAAACAGACCCGGAACCATATGCAAATCAGAGTTGAAGAATTATATTAAGATTTATGTGTATGAGAAATTCAGAAACATGAAAGACTAACTTGCAATAGTTTTTACTAAAAATCACAGATGAAGGAAAACAAATTCTTCTGGTGTATCTGTATGATTTCCAAATTTAATTTTTAAAGACAAACATATAGAAAGTAATAAACTAAGGTTTCAATTTATTATTTTATGTATTTCTTTAGACACACAGTTGCCCAGGCTGGACTCAAAATTCCTGGGCTCAAACAATTTTCCTGCTTCAGCCTCTGGGTAGCTGGGACTACAGGTACACACCCCCATGGCCAGCTTCAACTAAGTTTTAATACTATTAATCTCAATATTGAAAAACAATTTTGCATTTATCCTTGAATAAAAAACTGGGAAGCCTCAGGAAAAAATAATTTCATGTCAATAAACCAAAAAATAATTCTTGTTACTAGGAATAAGACAGCAATGTTGATGTATCTTTTTGTAACTATAAGGCATGTTCAACCTATTAAAAATTACTCTAGAACATAATTATTCATTACAAGGCATTATAATAAGGATTCAGGCCAGGTGCAGTGGCTCACACCTGTAATTCCAACACTTTGAGAAGCCAGGAAGATCGAGGCGGGAGGACTGCTTAATCTCAGGGAGACCAGCCTGGGTAACACTGGGAGACCCTGTGTCTACAAATTAAAAAAAAAAAAAACTAGCTGGGCATGGTGTTGCATGCATCTGGTCCCAGCTACTTGGGAGGCTGAGGTGGGAAGATCATTTGAGCCTAGGAGGTTGAAGCCACAATGAGCCAGAATTCTGCCACCGCACTTTGGCCTGAGTGACAGAGTGAGACTCTTTCTACATAACTAAATTTTATAAATGTTGAACATGGTAGCTACAAATAGGTGGAAGTGGAATAGTTAAAAAGAAACAGAAACTAAAAACTAACCTGGATTCAAATCCTGGTTACCAGTACGTAACCTTACTAGTTATATGAACTTGGGCAACTCATTTAACATCCCTGATCAATAGCTTCTCATTAATAAAGACTAAATTAAATTATTAGCTAACACTCTTGGTTGTTTTGTGGATTAAGTAGAACTGTGTATAAAAGTGCTCCGGAAACTATAATGTTAGGAAGGACTATTTTATTAAAGAACTTAACTACTGGACTAAAAAGAAGGAAGGTTTACTATTAATATTCCAATGAGCTTCCAGGTATATTTGTAATGATAAGTGAAAAAGGATGGTAGTAAGATTAAAAAAGACAGTCTTTTCAAATTTCCAATTTCATGCCAAATAATCATTAATGTTTAATTATTTTTTAGCGTCTATAAATGTATTAGGCTAGGTTAGCATTTTTATGATATACATGAGAAACATGGTTATAATTTGTTGTCAATCAATCATGATTTCAGAGTCACAGGGGACCTAAGACGTCCTCTTGGATCCCCAGTTGAGAAAACTACGGTCCATTCAGAGAGGTAATTAATATGCACGCTCCCTAAGAATTCTATTTAAATAGAGATATAAAATTTTAAAGTTGGAAGCATTATTCAAAACATTGTTTTGTTTACTCTTTCCATCTCACAGATGAGGCTACTATGGTCTCTTCTGTGAGGTTTATTAGTAGGCAGTTCTCTTCATAAACTTTAAACATGAAAAGAACATTCAAGAGCTGATGGCACCTACACAGTTACATTGTCCATCCCTTTTAATTTTAAAATGAGGAAACTGAGGCCAAGAGCAGGTTAATTTCCCCAATGTCATAATACACAGTAGCAGCAAAAACTGGAAAATAACCCAGACCAACTGACATCTTTGATGAATTGCAGGATAAAGATACGGGTAATAAGTCTCTCCCCAATCAACCCCAACTACATTTTCTTTAGTATGATGGCTATATTGTTTTCATGATTTAAACAAAGAATAAAGTTAACCATTCTCGAGTAAAATAATCACTATTTTGTGTGTATATATTACTACAGATTAGATTTTCATGGGTTTTAATCTCAAATTTATCAACTACTTACAACATAACTGGTATGTTTCTTTACTCAAAGCATAAAATATATTTATATAAATTGTGTTAAATATTTAACACTTTACAAGCTCAGTATAACTTACCTATCTTTTTTGCTTTTCCCTTTTTGCTGTTTCCCTGCAAGAATTCTTAATTCTTCTTCTGTAGGATGTTGATACCACCTCAAACTAAGCAAAAAAAGAATCCTTTTAAATAAAGTGCTTAAAATCACCAGAATTATTCTTTATCCTATAAATATTTATCAAGTTTCATATTTGTGAAGACACTGTTGAGAAATACCAGGTGAAAACTGTAATCTGAAACAAATACTACCTCTTAAACTTTAAAAGGGTTTAGATAAACATCCAGCAGACACTTACCAACCACTTACTAGATGCCAGGTCCAGCAATGCCATTTGTATTTATATTTCTTACAAATGACAATGTATTAATACATATTAAGATTATACAAGCTTATTATTAAAAGTAAATGAAGTCTGTAGCCAAGTGGGCAGGAGCACATTAATTCTCTACTAATCCCTCATTTGAAGGAACTGAGAATTATCTTAAAAAGAGAGTTGTTTGAATGAACTCTCATGTTTACAGGTAGTCTTTCCTTTCTTTTGCTTTTTTAATTTAGTTCGAGAATTCTCAAACTTTACATGTAGAATAATTAGAGAAAATCATTGTATTACAAAACACTTTACTTTTAGCTGTATCTAACCTTCCTCGGGTAAGGATCCAACAACTGGTTGTATTACTCTCTACCACAGTCAAAATACTTTAATCTGAAGTGAATACTCAAGATCCAAAGTAAACAGTTATTCCCTCCCAAGCACCAAGTGGCTCATCCTGAATTTCATGGCTTGCCTAGTCGTACCAACTATCTACCAATCACTTAAATTTGATATTTATATCTTATTTTCAATGTGCCCTCTCCACATGTTATTATTAATTCTGTTCCTCATCTCTTAAAATTCTAAACTCTGCCCTACTGCAGAGACCTTACTTCAGTGTATCTTCCTCTGAACATCTGACTAGTGCAAAATTCTCTCACTGGTATCCTCCCTGCCTTCCTGTGGACACATTACTCATTAAATCCATCTGAGCTTACCTCTAGTTATTGTTTTCTTGTTTTTTCACCTTATAGAAAGGTAGACCACCTTTACTTATTTTTCCATAATACAAATCTTATCAAGACCCATGTCTGTTTAAATCACTTCCAAGGCTCCTCACAGAGAAAAGCAATGAATAAGGCAGCTAGGCAAAAACTTTGACAAAGGCCCTATTATTATACAGGAAGAAATCCATCTAGTATGCTAGACCTCCCAATTCTTCAATTACAAAAATCTAGAATTTTTAAATTTGAAATTTCCCAATTGCTGTTACCCCCCGCCAACGCCCAAATAGAGATAGGGGCTCACTTGGTTGCCCAGAGGAGTCGCAAACTCCTTGCTTCAAAGGATCCTCCCTCCTCAGCTTTCCAAAATGCTGGGATTACAAACATTAGTCATGGCACATGGTCTCTTTGATTTGCTGTTTTAAGAACACTGCAGGCCAGGCGTGGTGGCTCATACTGGTGATTCCAGAACTTTAGAAGGCTGCAGGATTGTCTGAAGCCAGGAGTTTGAGACCAACCTGGGCAACACAGTGAGACCCTACCTCTATAAAACATTAAAAAATTAGCCAGGCCTGGTGGCATGCACCTGTGGTCGGGGAAGAGGATGAGGTAGGAGGGCTGCTTGAGCATGAGAGGTCAAGGCTGTAATGAGCCATCATTGTGCCCCAGCCCTCCACTCTGGGAAACAAAGTAAGACCCTATCTCAAACAAAAACAAAAACAAAAAAACACACAAAAAAACCCAACAACTGTAGAATTGACAATCTGAGTATTGAATATTTGGTGATATTAAAAAATTATTATTAAACAAGTTTAGGTACGATAATGAGATTGTGGTAATTTTAAAAAACTCATTATTTTTGATACATACACTGAAATGTAAAGTGGGGTAAGTACAGATGAAACAAGTTTGGCCACCAGCTATTAACTGTGATGAGTACACAGGAATTCATCATTCTATCTACTCCTTGCATACTTGAAAATTTCCATTAAAACATATATTACAAGGCCCACATCTGTATGGGAGTCATGCAGTATCTCTTGCTTCTACAGCCTTTCATGATCTGACCGATGCCTACTTTTCCAGGTTCACCTTCAACCATTTTCATTTGAAGGTGACACTTTCTGGCTTGACGAAGTGACATTTTCTTCCTCACAAATTCTTTCATCCCTTGGTGCTTTCTGCATATATTCTTCTCTCCTTGTAAACACCTATTTCCCTACTTGGCAAACTCTTAATTTCTCTCTTAGTGTTTACAAGCAGTCTTCTTGTGGTGTAATAAAAAAAATACATCTGCTCTTTGTCCCCAGTTCTTGACACAGAGTTTTAAAAGTCCTTATAAACACAAGAGTGGTAGAAGTATCTCTGTTATGCTAATGAAGTAGGTCAAGGCGGGCCCCAGATAGCTGCAGGATGGAGCTGATTATCAGAAACACCAAGCACAAGATTAGAGGGTCAGGACTTTCAGGAACTTGACCTCCAGGGATGGGTCCTGGAAATTGAGTTGCATCACTGAAATCAATTCTGTATCAATGACTTAAAATTGTACCTATATAATGAAACTCAAAAAAACTCCGGACATCAAAGCTCAGAGGAACTTCCTGTTGGTTAACACATTGATATGCCCAGAGGGTGACATCCTCAGACTCCAGAGGGAAAGAAAGGGCATGGAAACTCTTCTCTTTCCCAGACTTTACCCTATGTGCTTCCTTTAAATAAAACTGTAATAATAGATAAAGCAGTTTCCTAAGTTCTATGAATCATTCTAGCAGATTACTGGACCTGAGGGGATCATGGGAATCCTCAGATTTGTAACCTATTAATAAGTCAGAAGTGCAGGTAGCCTGGGTACCCTGAAAACTTGAAGCTGGTATCTGAAGTAGGGGCAGTCTTATGGAGAATTTGGCCTTTAACCTGTGGGATTTGTACTAACTCCAGGTAATTACTGTCAGAATACAAGCGTAGCATACCCAGGTGGTTTCAGATAAGTTGGATTAATATTAAAATGGAATGTTACCCTAAGTGAAAGATTCTTGGAGAAAAGATTTTATGGCTTTCTTGCTTTTTGTATACTTCAAAGCTAGTAGTTATTGGCATATAGTAAGTGCTCAAAAAGGATAACTGAACCAAAATGAACTCAGTTCTTTGCTTAATGAATTTAATATAACAAATATATATATCCCAACCTAAAAGTCCCTAAATTACAATAAACAGTTAAGGAGGCACTTCCTGAATTTATACTGAAGTCCAGAATTTTAACTTACAGAATTGATTCTCATTATTCATGGTAGTTATGTTTTATAAAGTCGCCGCGAACACTGAACCATTGCTCCTAGGGCAAATACAGGGTTAGGCTCCTTTGAGCTTCCGGTCATAACATTTTCATAAACTGATCAATACCCAAGCTTGTTTTATGTGTGTTTCTGTTTAAATATACCTTATTTAATATATATCATTGATTCGCTAACATTGAATTCACAGCCAAAAGCATAATTCATCCCTGAGCAAAGCTTATCTAATACTAGTAATCATTAAGTATAGCATTTTTTTGAGTTCTGTGCGTCATTCCAGCAATTTTTTCCCATAAGGCAGCCTTCTTGTGCTTAGGAATACTAGACACTACCACCAGCACTATGCTTGGGGGTCATTTTAAACAGCAAGATCACCAATGAAAAGCAAAATTGTAAAAAAAATGTGGCCCTAAACAGATGATAAAAAAGAGATTTGTTTACAGTATGACAGCCAAAACAATAAGGCAGACTGTAGCCTTGTTAGACCTCAACCAGGAGCATGCACGTATAGACCACTCAAATTTTTCATCACCGTCTATGTCCATGAATGACCACAAAAAGCACTGATTTTGGAATTACAAATACATTTTAGCAAGTAGGCAAATCCCAAAACGAAATCCACAAATAATGAGGATGAGTGCATAACATTTAGAAGAACACTTATAAGAAATAACTCATATAAAAGAACATGATCCAGAATAACTCATGTATAAAGATTAAAATCAGTTGTTCAGCTTTGAGAAATAGTAATTAGTGAAAGAACTCTCAGTATAGGAAAAATTAGGTTTTATTTAGAGCCCTATAGTAATGAAATATTTTAAGACACATTCTCTACTTTTTTTTTTTTGAGACAGTCTCGCTCTGTTGCCCATGCTGGAGTACAGTGGGGCAATCTCGGCTCACTGCAAGCTCCGCCTTCCAGGTTCATGCCATTCTCCTGCCTCAGCCTCCCGAGTGGCTGGAACTGCAGGCGCCCGCCACCACGCCCGGCTAATGTTTTTTATTTTTAGTAAAGATGGGGTTTCACCATATTAGCCAGGATGGTCTCAATCTCCTGACCTCGTGATCTGCCCACCTTGGTCTCCCAAAGTGCTGGGATTACAGGTGTGAGCCACCGCGTCCGGCCTTAAGACACATTTTCTTTTTAAATATACTCATGCTTGTTACATCTTATTTTGTAAACTCATTTCTCTAAAATGGCTTAGATTTATTACATTTCCTATGGGATAACTCAGGGTTATCGTTATTAGTGAGAATTATTGTTCAAAGTTGGAATCTAAGGATGCGTGATACTTTTAGGGTCACTTCTAGTCTGTAACTCACCTACCCATTCATTCATTTATCAGTCACTTAGGGAGAATCTTCTGTATTCAGATACTCTGCTAGGCAGAGGAGATATAATCACAACCAATTAATGCCAAAGTCCTTGCCTTTTTGATGGTTATATTCCAGTTGGGGGGTAAAATTTAATCAATTAAATAGTGAAAAATAAATTTTAATCCCACATGAAAGAATGAAACAAGTGGTGAAAAGGTGAGAGACAGCCTTAGATACTAGGTGAGGACGAACTTCTCTGAGACATTTAACCAGCAACCTTAAGAATGAGAAAACAGAGGAAGAGCATTCCAGGCAGAGGACACCAAGTCCAAAAGCACAGAGACATGAAAGAACATAAGACGCTGCAGTAACTAAAAGCCAATGAGGCAAGAGCTTCAAAGAGAAACATAAGAGGGGGCTGAAGAGGTAAGACGGGAACAGATCATGCAAAGGCTAATAG